CCTGGTCTTGAGACTGTGCCAAAGCTGATGCTCACCGGTGAAAAAAAGAGGCTTCCCACCAGCCATATTACCTAAAGTTGATCTCTGGAACCCATCTGACAGACAGACAGACAGACAGACAGACACACACACACACACACACACAGGAATAAATGTAAAAATAAAATGTAAAAAAACAAAGGTAGCCTCTTTCTGATCTGCTCAGGGCCCTAGAGTGAGCACCTGCCTGGAAAGGTCACATTTGTAGGGCTGCCTCAGCAAAGCCTGAGCTGCTCCTTCAGTTACAAATGAGGCAGCCTGACTTGGCCGGGCAAGCCCTCTCTCTCAAGGGCCAATCTCTTCAGCTTTTCTGTTCCCTTTCACCAGAGGCCTGCAAACAGGTTTCAGGTTTAACTTCCCAACTCCTGCCAGGGCAAACCCTTCATCAAATGAAGTCTACGGCATAGCAGGCTCACCCCTGGAGCCCCTATCCTTTTTGGTGAGGAACCAAGAGGTCCAGAGTTGGACACTAGCTGAGGCAGAGAGGTGCACCAGTGAGGACAGCCAGTGGCTCAGGATGTCCAATTCTGCTTCCTCAGGACTACCTAGGCAAGGGCTGCTCCCAGATCTGGGTACTTCTGAGACATCCCATCAGGCTGAGGACAGGAAAGACAGTGGTCTGTCTTGGCCTGGGGGCTGTCACTGTACTTTCGGGGAACTCTGAGTGCCTTTATAAGAAGCCTGTTCTCAGGTGCCCTAAGCTACCCTGTACACATACGCCATGGGTGCATCAAATGTTCCTGGACTACACTAGGCTGCGAACAATGCTCCAGAATGCTATCTGACACATCTGCTAGAAGGGTAGCTCTCGTTATTTCGCTGCTTTTGCACCACTCACATCAGGCTACAGCTTCTGTCAGCAACTTCTCTTGATAGTGACTTTGAAGTTAAGAGAGAAAAAAGGCAAGGGGCCTCTCCTGGGTTGGTAGTCTCTTCTGAGACTTGAGATGCTGAGGCAGGGTATGCCAAACAGGCCTCACTGCTGAGAAGACAGGTGCAAAGCAATATGGTACCTGCAGGGTCTACTTACTGCTCTCAGAGGGTTTGCTTCTGAGAGAGACCATGGCTGCTGTGGTCCTGAGTGTCTCTGCCAATGACAATGCCTCTTCTCTTTCTTTCTCTGGACCTGAGGCAGCCAGCTGCAGGCCTTCCTCAGCTACTATGAGGAGCCATGGTTCAGATACTGTGGAACATGCTGACGACAGGGCTCTAAGGAGCAAGGCTGGCAATGAATGCCAGCTTCAACCCAGGGCTGCTGGGGAGGCTAACAGAGGGGAAGAAGAACATGAAGGGGCACTCTCCACTTCCCCATTCCTCCCTGCCTGGATTTTTATGACAAGTGAAACACAGGTTCCTTACTCTGCACTGTGCTCCAGAGGCAGGTGGGAGATATAAACAAAAGTATCCTATGGTTAGGTATTGGTTGGAGAAGCTGAGGGGAAAGAGTTGTAAGCAGACATGGGGCTCAGTGAGGTCATTATGTATCTCCGAGGTCTTCTACAGAAATGAGCTCTAGAATCTGAGGAGCCTGTTTACTGGGGGGTCCTCCTGCATTCTGGGTCCTGTGCTGAGCGCCCAATGTTCATGAGCTCATTTAACCCTTCCCACAAGCCAGTGTCTTTGTTATCTCTCCCTTATGGGAAGAGGCTAGCCTACTTGCTCCATGTCAACCAACCATTAGGTGGTAGAGCCTGGACTGGATTTCTGGACTGGCTGATCTAAAGGCCTGTGTCCCTGGCCACCAAGCTGCACTGTCACCAAGGAAGAGAATACCAGGAAGGGATGCCATTCTAGATCATAACAAAATAAATGCTGTTGGCTTCCCTGTGAGTGAATACAATCCTCATATAAGCCCCTGAGGTGTTCCTAAAGGACAAGATGACTTCCTGGGTATAAACCTTGCTCCTAAGGCAGCTTATTCATCACTTTCAAAAAGCCAATTTATCAATAGATGAACTTAGGAGCACAGGAAGGTGGCTGTGGTGGACAGGGTCTGGTGAGAGCTGTGCTTCTGTGTTTGGTCTACAAGGCAGGTGTGGACTTCATTAGTTTCATTTCATAGGCTTAGGCAGGTTCAATTCCTCTCAAAAGGCCACCACTGAGGATAGCTCAGAGGGAGGTCAGCTGTCCAGGTGGTCCACACTCAGGGCAAGTAAAAGTCTTAGTTTTTGTGTGTTCTGCAAAATGGAAAAGGATATGTGCCCTTCCAGGTTTCTTCTGAGACTGAGTGTCACCACTCCCATGAGAATTCTTTCTATACCTGGGAGAAGGGTCACCTCAAGCCTCTGGACCCAGCCTATCAGGAAGGCAGAGAGGACCCTCCAGGTAGAGCTCTCTTAGGAAGCCAGCAGGCAACTGGCACCTTCTGGTGGCATAAGGAGCAGACACTAACATGCAGATCCATCAGGAAGCTCGAAGCATGTGCCCTGCATTCTATGTTAGAGAAATCAGGGTCACATTCCTCATAAAAATCAAGTTATTGCATTTGTAGCTAAAGGGAAGATTTCTACTTCAGTGCCAAGAATATTAATTTGACACCTGCAAACTGTTTCTGACAAAAAGGATTCAGATAGTGTCTACAAGGAGCAGGTGGTAGGGAGGAAACAGCCACTTATTCTGAATAAGGGAAGAATAGACAATGGATGCTAGAAGGGTGTGGCCTACCAATCTGTCACTCTGGCAGAAGTGAGGAAGAATGGCAGACAAGACACTCTAATGAGGCCACAGGACTGCAGAATACAGTGGATGGAGGTGAGCTAGGTCTCTTGGTTCTGTCTTCCTCATGCCTAGCTCTTGCATCATCAACGCCTGGGTACAAGCTGTCTCTTGGGGCTAGTGGCTCCAAACCACAGTGAGGAGTATACGGGTTTACCACAGTAGTACTGAGAGAGAGAAAAACATCTGCCACATCGACAACACATCGATGTCCTAACATACAAAGAGCTTCCTCATTCCAATAAGAAAAGTGGACAGAGGATTTAGGACCAAGATGGAAGGAGTTTTTTCAAAATATAAAAACATTCCATCCTGAACTAAAAATCTGCACTGAACAAGGGGCAATGGCCAGTGATGCTTCTGGAGAAGTCAGCAGGAAATAGGACAACACCGTTAAACCCAGTGCTCACTTCCTCATGGCTCCATACTCGATGGACACAAGTTAAGCAGTTGAGGCGACGGGCTTAGCTTCAAGCAGATCTGGTTTTGAGTTTGGGCTCTAGCACCTCTTAGTTGTGAGCAACTACCCCCCCCCCCGCCTCCCGGCCCAGAACTGCTTTGAGGGTTCTCTAATTTCTACAACCAGAGTCCAGCATGGTCTGTGAACCTCAGGCAGTGTCTGGGAAAAATAGGGCCCACTTCCTAGATACACAGAGGTCCTACAGAGGACCTGGGAGAAGCAGACTCCTGCTGCCAAGTCCACAGTGGGTCCTCAAGGTCAAACAGGTCGGGCAGAGGACACTCAAGAACAGGACCCTGGTGAAGAATCAGAGTGTGCCATAAGCCTCACTCACCAGTGATTATCAAGGTCCCCAGATCCAAAGACAGGAAAGGACAGCCATTCTCTCATAGCAACTCCCCTACAAATGTCCCCAAGATCAGCTTTAATCTCTCCTCATGAGGCCCACAAGATGTGTCCCAAAGCCCTGACAACATTTAGCACTTCAGCAAATCGAGTTTCCACAGCCGCAACCTGAACAGAGCAGTTTAATGGACTGTATCTCCTGTGCTCCCACTAAATGCGCACACACAAAAGCCAATTCCAAGCAAAGGCGGCTGGATGGGATTAAACAACTCAATTCAAAGGACTGAAAACTCAGCTGCTTCCAGTGAAGTCCCATGGAAAGAGGCAATCAGCAGAGTCCCCCCCTTCCCTTATTGCTCTGAACTGTGGGCCTAGCTCCTGGGTGAGTCACTCCCAAATCACAGGCAGAACTGGGCCACACATCCACCTGGCTTTCAAACAGAAAGGGGCTGGGGGAGGGGAGAGAAGAGGGTATATGTGTGCAGGGAGCCATGGGTATGCACAGACCATCTGTTTGGGATTTTTTCTGGAAATGTAAAGAACCTGAGAGGACCAGGAGGGTGATGCCTGCCTGCTCGTGTCTCTCAGCAGCCCAGGTCCAAGGAAGCAAGTTCAGGTTGCAGGACAGTTGCCAGGGCCCTAAGTGAGCATCACACCAGCCCAGGAAGACCAAGCTGCACCATTCCAAGGAAGTTGAGCACCCCCAACCCCGTCCGCTCCCACCTTCCCACTGGGTAAGTCATATGCCTACTGCTATGTGGAGAAAAGGCTCTGCCCATCCCTCACATGACTTAGAGTCCCAAAAGGGAGAGGGCTACAACATGGCTTAGACTGTCAGCATCTAACACACAGCCAGAAGGGATGATCTGGATGGTGGAGGACCATATTCCTGCAAATAAGCATGGCCTGCCTCTTAGCTGGGAGGCAGGGGAGCTGGACAGAACCCCATGTTCTAATGCTGGGACAAATGATGCCAAGAATGAAGGCAGAGGAGCGGTGAGTTCTAGTACCTTGTCTCCACCCAGGCCACCCTCGCCTTTTCACACTAGCAGCTTGTAATCACCCCAATAAGGCAAGGCTTTGGGACCAGTTTTAAGTTGGTGGCCAAGTAGGTAAAACAATAAAAAAACACAAGTATTACTGCTGTCCTCATCAGACAGAGGAGGAAGCTGAGGCAGAGGAGTTTAGGCAGCAAGGCAGGGCTATACCTTGTCCCCAAGCAGGCTGACCCTAAAGCCACACTCACCAACACCTTCAAGGGAAAATAATCACAGGCAGAGCTATAAATTCATGTCCTGTCCCAACTATTCCAGAAGGACCTACAGAAGAAACACCCTTCCTCAGAATGCTAAATGTAGTTTTGGTTTAAGAACACATCAACCACCTAAGTTGTGAAGGCTCCCACAGCTCACTAAAAGGAAGGCTGAGTTTGGGGACCTACCTCATCAGATTCATCAGATAGTGTCTGAAGCAGGATGGGGAAGAGGCTGTCTGTGTGCCGGAACATCTGGAGAGCAGAGAAGAGGGTACTTGTGAGCTCCCCAGCCCAGAGACTGGTCTCAGTGCAGACATGTTACTTGTCTGTTACTCCCCCTGACCTCTGCCTGGATTACAGCACCTCATAGCACCAGCCACTCTTCTGCTTGCCAGGGCTTCTCTAGATGGCCATCCCCCTGTCAATGAGTGTGGCAGGATCTGGAAACCCAACGTGGACCTTTAGATGAACACTGACCTTCTGCAGAGCTGGGGCCAAGCTTACCTTGCGGGGAGTTTTGATGTACAGATGGTAGAGCCATTTCAGAACGGCAATCCTCGTCATCATCCCAATGGTTGTGTCACTGAGGTGGCAGTTCAGGACTTGCACAATCCCGTCCAGGTGCAGGGTCACTGGAGCTCTGTCAGTGCTGTGAGCAAGACCAAAATGAAGCCATGAGTCATTCTCTCCCCATAAACCGCAGCACCCCTTGGGTCTGCACACTCAGAACCACACTTCTGTCCCATTGTCCTGGGGACTGGCAGGCAGCTAAGCAGATGGTACTCACTGGGCTCAGCCCAGTGGCTCCAAGGGGGGCTTGCTTCTCTCTGTTTGCTCCCTTCTCCCCTTTATGAAGGAGCACCGTTTGGGTGCAGCTATGCTGTCCCTGTGTGGGGAGGAGGCCCTTCTGTTGGACTCAGTCACATGACCTTCCTCTACCCAGCACCAGTCTAACTTTCATAGGCAGAGCTGGCCCACATTGGACCTCTGATCTCAACATTCTGAATGTTTAGCATTCCCAGGACACCAAGCCAGACATTTTGCTGATGAAGTCAAACTAATATGTCCAACAGCACAAGGGCAGGTCCCTGAAACTCTTCATGGCATCCAAGACCCTTTATGGGTAAGTGAAGACCATTAGCCAAGTGAGGATGAGGATTGGTTTGTCATCTTGCCACCCTTGCACCTGGCACAGGATTTGTTCCAGAGAGAAGCAAGAGGGCTGCCTTAGAGGAAGAAACATTCTTTGGAACCGGGGATGAGATGGGAGCCTGCCTGAGAGAATATAAGTTTGTTCAAGTCTGGCCTGGAGATCCCACACACTGAAGCTCTCTGGTCTCCACTAACAGAGCATAAGCAGCCTGGGGAGGGCCAAGTGCTGCTCAGAGACGGAGATGCTCTGCCCAAACTGGCTGTCCTGGAACTCATTCTGTAGACCAGGCTGGCCTTGAACTCAGAAATCCACCTGCCTCTGCCTCTGTGCTGGGATTAAAGGTGTGTTGCCACTACATGCTGGCATTCCTGTGAGGCTGGGTTTTCAGGGCAGGAAACTTTAGGAGTTGGAGAGCTTCTCTTCCACTCTCACACTGCATCTCCCCAAAGTGACGGCAGCCCAGGCTGCATTTTCTGAGTACTGGAGCCAGGCAGCTCCACTGTCCACCCATGCAAGATGGTCTTTCTTGCCCTTTCCAGGCTATTCAATTATTCATCTACAACAGGAACTTGACGGCTGTGTGTTCCGCATGAGCCTGCAGACTCTCTGAAGCTCCTGTGCTAGGATGTCTAAGGCGTGTGGTTCTATAAGCGCTAGGCAGAATTGCTGGATAATACACGTTGGTGCTCCCCTGGTGCCTGCTTCAGGGTTGCTCGGGCATTCCATTCTCAGGGGATTGGATGATCTCAGTATGTGAAACAGTGACAGAACCCAGAATAGAGGACAGAGGAAAGCAGCCACCATGCTTTCCTAGGAGTCACGTGGCTAGGAGTTCCTAATGGCTTTTGAGCATTTCAAACTGTCAAGGCTTTGGCAGCAAAAGACAGACAGAGCCAGGATGACAGAGACAGTGGTCAGTCAAGCCCTTTACCACTTTGTCTTGCTCTCTGTCCAACAAAAATACAACTGAAACTCAGATGGGCTTTTACATTCTCTAGGTTTCAAGTTGAAATTAACTTTCATGTTTTAACTGGGCCACAACATTAGCATATCAATAATCAATAAGATGAACATAAAGATCCTTAATGAGATGCTCTACATCCTAGCCTTTGAAATCTAGCATGCATTTTCCACCCCAGGTCAGGGGCTCAGCAGCTATGGAGTGCTGCTATAACCAGCCAGCATAGCAATCCATGTTGGCTCTTAGGACTTTTTTACATCCCGCCTCTCTCTGCCGATGGCCAGAACTTCCCATTTCATGTCCAGGTCTTGCTTTTCTGCATCCTGGGCTGGCCTTTTGTGGAGCTCCTTCTGGAATGATGCCTGAGGCTTGGCTCCTCTCTTTGGGCTACAGGTCTTGTGGCTAGAAAAGCTCTGTCTCAGTGGTGAAGCAGATGCCTGCCATGGCTCAGGGCCTTAACGATGCAGGTGGATACTGAACAGTAGCTGCCTCCTTCTCAGCCATTCTTTGATAGCCGTGTGCCCTAGGGTTTGCAGTGGGTCCTTTTCCAGCGGGAGCCACAGGGTATTTAGGATGCTGCCTGGGGAGAACCCTGTGCCTGAAGACCACTGCTGCACCTCAGCTGAACCAGCCCCTGACAGTCCCTTCAGGTGGTTGGTGCCATGTCAAGTCCACATGACAAAGGAAGGAAACTGGCAGCATTGTGAATGCACACACTCTCCAATGCCACCCCACCCCCTACTTCCAGTAAGGCTGAGGTGTCAGCCTCAACCAACAACCATGAGGTCATAGAGGGGACTTCAAGTTTTAAGCACCCAATCTGCCAATGCACAGAAGGGCAAACCTGGGTCCAGAGGCACTGTGAGATGCACCAAAGCCAAGAGGCCAAGGGCTGAGAACTCATTTTCTTCACTAGAGACATCTCTCTGGGTCCACTTCCCTTGGCTAGCTCAAGGTGAAGGTCATGGGAAGCAGCTGCACACTTATCTTAGTGGCCAGCAAACAGGGTCAGGATAACATCTGCCCTTGAGCAGGCAGCACTCAGCCCCTCTGTCGGGTGGTGCTGGCTGCTGAGCTCTGCCTGTGCTCTTGGGGAGCTGGGGTTGTGGGACCTTCCCAGGGTGATGTGTGCTTGCACAAAGTGACTGATCAGCTTCCCTGTACTAGGCCAAGCCTGCAGTGTAGCGTCCTCTGCTCTGGCTGACCCATCATGAACAGAACAGCTCACAGGAGGTTTAAAAGACATTTCTATGCTGGTTCCAAGATGTCTAGACAAGTCATTCTTGAGCTCTGAGTTATTTCAAGGTGTCTGCAGCAAGCATTTTTTCCTAAAGCATTTTATAACGAGTCTTACAGGAACATGCACTACAATGTCAACGTGAACGGCACTGCTGCAGCTTAAAGCACAGACTTGCCCAACCATGCTTCAAATGCCACCAATGCACAACCATGTGGTCAGCGGTTTTCTCCAGGAGGCAGCGATGCATTTTTGTGTGTTTAACGTTTTATGCTACTCATATTACAGCTGTAACCAAACTGGAGAAAGGTAACTCTAAAGATAGAGCTTATGAGTTCAATGTCGCCTTTCTAAAACACAGTTCACATTCTTTTTAATCGGCAGTCACTCAGTGGCAGCACCAACTTCTAGGCTTCTCTGCTGGCTGTGGTGCAGGGCAGCCAACCACACCAGGTGAACAGTCTGAAATGGTCACTGATGACAGCATGGCCCTTGGCAAGGCCTAGTTGTCAGGGGGAGGACTGCACAGTGATACCTGTCCAAAAACCTGCCAAGTACATCAGAGAGGCCATGTGCAACCCTTAACTCTCCAACAACAATCCATCAAGCTAAGTGCTGGTGACCTGGAGCCAGACAGGCTTAGCTTGGATTTTCACCTCATCACTTAATTAGCTGGGTGGCCTCCAGCAAGAACTTAACCTCTCTGTCCTGTCTCCTCATCTTGATTATGGGGAAAAAGAGGTTCTTGTGTAACTAGGGTAGCTAAGTGTGACCACGCATGTGCTGTCCGCCAGGCACTGTTTCAAGCTTCTCACATACTTTACCTGATTTGTATCCATTCCTCTATGGGGTCAATACTGTCATTGTCCCCCCAGTTAACACACATAGGAGGCAGGATGTGAACTGGGCCCCTTTCTCTCCAGAGGAAGGGATGCATCCGGTATGCAGATAGGTAGCAGTGGTGAAATCCTCCTTTGCTGTTGTCTTGCTTTCCATCATGCTTCCTCCATTCTGACCTCTTTTCTTTTCACCTCTCCTCAAAGGAGGCCCGTCTTCAACTTCCCACAAATCTCCAGCCCCATGAGGGTAAAGGTTACACCCCTTTGGTGCTGCTTGACTCTCCACCCACTCAGACAGAGAGATATCACTTCTGTTTTTTCAGTGGCTCTCTTGGTGGCCAGACGGGAGAGGAAGGCATCTTGTGGCCTTTTGATGCTTTGATTCCTCATAACCAGCCTGATCCCTGCTATGGATTCGGCTATGGATTCAGAATTGTGTGTGGATGCGCATTTTCCTAGGAAAAGGGTCCACAGCTTTCATTAGACTCTTTCAAGGCTGGTGATCACTAAGAGGCTAATGACCAGGAACAGTCTTCCCTCTAGCCACTGCTCTTTGCTTGTCATTTGGGTGGTGCTCTGGGTAAACTATGCATCCAGAAGATGGGAGGCCAGGTTGTTTTGTGTCACCCTGAATGCCATCTGTGCAAGTTCAGTGGCCCTGGAGGGAGCAGGCCAGAGGCTCTGAGTGTCTGGCCTGCTCACACACCTCCTGTGCTGGTTTCTTCCAAGCACAGGCAGGGCTGCAGGCCATGATGCTGCCAGAAGACGACCTTCCTACACCAGCATAGTATGCAGGATAATCTTTTTGTGTTTTGTCTCCCTGTGTGTTCTCAAAAGATAGGATTCAGCATTAGCTCTTGAGTGATAGGTATAAACCAAATCTGGTTCCGGCTAGCTGGTCTGTGACCTGAACACAGGAACTGAAGTCTCTGTAGGCCCACCCAGCTGAGTATAAGTTTCCAAACGGCAAGTGAGGTGGTAGAAGGTTGTGCCACTTTTGCAGCCCATCAGTCACGCACTGGCTCTGCTTCCTCCTTCATTCTACAGTCACTCCCTGAAGCGTGACAGTCTCTGTTGTCCAGATTACAGTGCCAAGTGCATGACAGTCTTTTTGGCTACAAGTGGGAGTTCATACATCCCTTCACTGACCCTACCACTCCTGCATATGCTACTGGCTTGCAAAGCCTTCCTGTCCAGAAATGGCCCTTCAAGAGCCCCTGCACCTCTGCCCATACCTCTTATTCTAAGTTCCAAAAGCCAGTTTTCATGCTGGGCCCCTCCTCCCTGAGGATTCCTCGAGTCCCCTGGGGCTGAGTCTAGAGATCCTTGGTCATACCTGTTCTTCCTTCCAGTCCAGCTTAGGAATGTGCCAGGACACCCTGGGCTTAGCTTTAGCTAAACATCTAGAGGCTACTCTCCCCGTTCCTCCCATTTGTTCCACTCGTCCAACAGCAAAGCCGCCAAGCCTACTTTTCAAACACAGCTTTTCAGTGTGAGCTGCTGTCCCTTCTCCCCAGCCACTCTGACCCTCTCCTAAAACCATTCCGTAAACAGTAGTCTATTTCCCCATACTTCTTCATCCCTAAAATAGACATAAGGGTGTTGCTGATGGGCTGGATACCAGCGAAACTTCAATGGTCTGACACCGGGTGAGCACAGAGCCTGGGTGTGGGGCATGCTTACCAGCCATAGGGCCTTGTCTCCCTAACCCTCCCTAACCACCTCCTCTATAGTTCTGCTGTCTCTTAGAAACTGGCTTGCTACTTCACTGTCTCCCATTAAAGTGTACTGAAGTCAGGATCACATTTATGGGCTCTTTCCCTCAAAACCTGTGGGGACCAGCCCTGGCAGTGCTCTAGAAGCAGATGACAAGCAAGTGACGGTGAGTGGGTGACGGGCACTCTCCTGTCACTCACTTTGAGAGGCAGCTCCAGGGCACACAGGTACTGGATTCAGAAAAGATCCCCGGGTTTTTAGGGATAGCAATACACTAAGCATGAAATAGAAGGGAGACCCTGAGGATTTGAAAAGAACCTCCTAGAGTGGAGCAGTTTCTCCTCACAACAACTGGCTCCCCAGGCCCAAGTTCAATGTTACATTTAGAGGAAATCACTGTAGAATTGCCATCTACTCTAGGCACAGGTGCTAATGTTTTAAAGAGACAGCTTCAGCAGGCAGGTCCGCAGACTCAGCCCAGGACAGAACCATGATGGTTTCCTCCCTAGGGGATTCCATCACCTGGCAGGAGCAGGCTGGCAAGGCAGGGTAGGACTTTGCTCCCTGGTCTGCACTGCCCCCCTGTGGAAGCCTGTGCTATGACAGCCATCCTGGGAGAAGGCAGAAGAAAGTTCCAGTGCCTGCGCCTATGCACCATAGCTACTCTCCTGACCAGTGTTCTGTGTCTCTATGAGCCCTGCCCAGAGCCAGCCTTTCCTTGAATAAGGAAAAGACGCTGGGCAAAGGCACCTGCAGCCTTACGACCATCAGCATACACTGCTGGGCTTCTGGAATGTGCATTTATTTACTGACCAGCGGCTCCCAATCTTTCCCAAAGGCAAGCAATCTGTCCAGAGGAACTGGGTGGAGAGGCTCCTGTGGCACCCTCAGGTTTCATCAAGTGCCTCCGCTGTGCACCAGGCATTCCCCAAACAGTGGCCTTGGCCAGTTTTCCTTGCTGTAATCTCTTGCACCCAGGAAAATCTAGACCACCAGCTTTCCACGAACCACTCACCTGGCTGAGGTGAAGACGTTGATGCCACTTCCAAAGCTGGAGTCACAGGAACCACCTGGACCTCCTACGGAAGGAAGAAGAACATGGTGAGGCCAAAGCCTGCCTGCTCTTTTGTAGAAACAAGACCCTGGTCTCTCCTCCCCAGCATCCACTCCTCCATTCATGCTCCTGAAAAGGAAGCCAAGGACCCAGTGCTTCTGCAGTCCCCAGGGCTCAGGGGACAACAGCCATGCACAGGGATTTCATAAGCTGTGGACATTCATGCTGAATACAACTGGGACATTTCAGAAGGGCCTGCAAGCCCAAGGGCAGTGGCTGTACATGACTTAGGCTTTTTAGCATCTTAGCCAACAGGAAATGCAGATCAAGTTCACAATGAGCTACCACTTCATGCCCATCAGGAGGGCTGAAGTCAAAAAGGAAGAAGATGGAAACGTTGGTAAGGGTGTGGGGGGACAGAAACTCTTATGCATTGCTGGCAGCAGTGTGAAATGGTGTTGCTACTTTGTATAACAGGTTGGCAGTTCCTCAGAACTTAAACACAGGTGGCCCAGCAATCCCGCAAAAGAGCAAAGGAAACCTGTATCCCATGGAAGCTGCATTTTATGCCAATGCAGCCACCTACCACAGTCAAAAGGTGAAATCAAACCACATGTCTCTGCATGGGTAAACAAACTGAAATACTACTCAGCAACAAAGAGGGACAGGTTACAGAATGGATGAACTTTAAGGACACGCTAAGTCAAAGATGCCATGTCCAAAATACTACATAGTAATATTCCATTTATAGGAAGTGTCCAGAATAGGCAAGTCTGGAGACAGAAAGTAGATTAGAGACTCCCTAGGGCTGGAGGATTTGGGGTGGTGGAGTGTGATGGGTAAGGGCTTCTTTTAAGGTCAGTGAAGATGTTCTAAAATCTGGTGGGCTGATTATGCAACTTCGTGACCAAACAAAAGTTGCTAAATTGCACACATTCAGCTGGTATGTAAAGTTTACAAAGCATCAATAAAAGGGTTAAAAATGACAGTATGCATCTGGAAAGCTGCCAGTGAGGCAGACTCTAGCCCAGGTACTGGCCAGAAGCTGGTCACAGCTTAGAGCATCAAGGACAGGAGGAGGGGTCAGCATGTGAGGTACGCAGATACAGGGTCAACGTCACCAGTCAGTACTGAGCCAAAGAGCCAATATAGCCCCAACAGGATGCGCTGCAGACAGGACTTCTGCGGCACCCTTCCACAGTGCTTAACTTCAGGATGCATGGGAAAACATGTGGCTGACTCACCGTGGAGCAGTGGGTCTGCAGAGCGACCGGCCAGACCTTCGAAGTGTCAGTGACTGAGTCAGAGGACAGTGGTTAAATGTAGTGTGGAGTTTCAGACTCAAAGGGACAAGAGGGGAAAACTGAGGACAGTCAAGTTAGGTGTTGAGTGGAGCCAGTACCCTAACAAAGTTCTAGGTAGCTAAGAGAATGACATATAAGGAGCTTCTTATTCTTTTCTGAACACTTAAAGTTATTTTTTAAAGTGTCGTGTGCCCCCCCCCCCCCCCCCCAGACGGGGACTTTCTGTGTAGCCCTCGATGTCCCACATCTCCCTTTGTAGACCAGACTGGGCTTGAACTCGAAGAGATTCACCTGCTCTGCCTGTCTAGTGCTGAGATTAAACTTAGACTAGAGACAGTACCAGTTTTGTGGAGAAGAGAAACTGAGCATACAGGGCATTCCATGACAGGCTCTAAATCAGACAGTATCAGGAGCCTGGTATTTTTCCAGAGAACCACATATACACATTGAGGGTGGCAGAGAAGGACAGGGAGGGAAGGAGGGGGAGAGAGACACAGAGAGATGGAGAGAGACACACACATACAGAGAGAGAGAGAGAGAGAGACAGAGACAGAGACAGAGAAAGAGACAGAGACAGAGAGAGAAAGAAGTTGTTTGTCATAATTTCTGCCCGGGATTTTTGTCACAGTCCCCTTGTCCCCTGTATTCTCTCTAAATTGTCAGTGCTTCTCAGTCAGACCTAAGTTCAAAATTTCTTGCAAGGATTCACAGTGAGAATTTCTCAACCAGGCCAACAGGCAAAAATCATAAAGGAAAAAACCTGAAAGGCTAATTGAAATTAAAAACTGATTTAAAAGAAGTTGCTGGGAGGGATGGAGAGATGGCTCAGCAGTTAAGAGCACTGACTGGGGGCTGGAGATATGGCTGAGAGGTTAAGAGCACTGAATGATCTTCCAGAGGACCTGGGTTCAATTCCAAGCACACACATGGCAGCTCACAACTGTCTGTGACTCCAAGATCTGACCCCTTCACACAGACATACATGTATGAAGCAAACAAAACACCAATGCATATAAATAAATAAATAAGAAAGAGCACTGGCTGTTCTTCCAGAGGACCCGAGTTCAATTCCCAGCACCCACATGGCAGTTCACAACTGTCTGTATCCCTGTTTTAGGGATCTGTAACCCTCACACAGCTACACATACGGGAAAACCCCAATGCATATAAAATAAAGATAAATAAATCATTAAAAAACAAAAAGAAGTTGCTGGGAGAAGACATTTACAATGCATTTCACTGTCAGAACTAACACTCAACACAGGAAACGGCCCTTCAAGTCAAGAGAAAAGTCAGGCTGGGATGTATTTACCTAACATGAATGCGGCTATGGGTTTGGTCTCTGTTGCACACCCACGTGTACATGTAAACACACACACACACACACACACACACACACACACACACACAAATAAAATAAAAATAGGAAAGAAGAGAAAAGCAAATGAGAGGAGATAGTACAAGTCCCTGACAAAGCAGTCTAGTCATTTATGTAACAAATGCTTACATAGCTGCTAGGATGCATGAGGAATACTTTTAAACAGCCAACAGATGTTAGCTTTTTCATTGTGACAAGCCCACAGTGCCAGGACTGTCATCACTCTCATCCTAGAGGTGAAGAGAGAAGCAAGGTCAGAAGATTTGCCCAGGGTCACACAGCTGGATAGCAGGGGGTCCGGGCCAGACCCAGGGCCCTGTGTCATTGTGGAGTATTCTGAGGAGGGGAGGCTGCTGTGTGTGGCAAGAAATTGCAGGAATTGTGTGACTGCAGAGTAAGAAGTTTCCTTTCACTTGCCAGGGCAGTGAACATTTAAGAGATGACTCATATTCCCGTGGGAGGCAGGGGTGGGAGGGCGCTGAGGCTTCTCCATGATGGAGGTGCTTTTGCAGCCACTGGCCTCAGAAAGAGCCAACTCCAGCACTATGTGCTCACATGGAAAGTGCCCCATTCCTACACATAGAGGCAAGTGCTCGATGACTACAGCCACAGCTCCAGGCCCTCCTCTTGCTTTTGGCTGGAATTCTTCTGTAAGAAATAGCTGTCCCTTCTTTGTCATTCATTCACTCAATTATTTATATCAGACATTATGGAGCCATGGATATTTATTCTGTAGGTTGTATTTGTTTGTTTTGTTTTGACTTTTTAAAGACCAGGTTTCGTGTGGCCCAGGTTGGCCTCAAGCTCTCTATGTAGGGAAGATCACCTCGAATCCTTGATCCTCCAGCCTCCACAGCTCAGGTGTTAGGATTACAGCTGCAGCAGCACCCCAGCTCTTACAGATGACTACTGCTGTCCCTACTGTCATTCAAATGTTACCAGCCTTGACTTCTTAAAACTTTTAAAGTTTACAAATGAAATATTTTTTAAAAATTATAAATCAAATCTTTAGCCTATTCCAAAAATAGCCTATGGGCCTTCTTCTTCCCTGGTAAAGGGAATCTTTATTTCTGTATTAGGTAGGAAGGAGGCCCACACTGCCACCTGTCTTCTCTAGTCACAGAAGCGTAGGAGGGAAAGCCGTGGCAGCAGGCCAGTCACCCTACCTATGCCATGGTGGCAGGGTCTGGAGGCAGGGGAAAAGGAAGTGCCAGGGGAGATGGGAAGGGCAGACTGACCCAACAGCCAGGGTCCATACCCTTGAAGGCTACTCTCCTCATCTTCCAAGAACCCACACATCTATAGAGGAAATGTTAGGGCACCAAGCACGAATCTCAAATCCCCTGAGCAAGCCATCTCTCTTTCCACTCAGCCATCTCCCCATCTGGGTTTGATCCCTAATAACACGGACAGAGACACACACTACTCAGCAGAAATGGTGTTGCCCTCCTGCAACCCCAGCACTGGAGGCTGACACAGAAGGATGCAGAGTTGAACGCCAGCTTGCGTGACACAGCAAGGCCCTGTCTTGAGAAGAGAAGCAGAAGAAGGGGTAGAAGGACAGATGCAAGTAGATATTCACCACGTGGCAAACGCATAGGAATCTATTCTAGGCGCGCTCCGCCAACGGATGCCACGTCCAGTCACTTAGGGGGAAAACAGGACCTTCATCTAATCTCCAGTATCCTCCCCAATATATTGTTTTTGCATATGTATGTGTGTGTGTGTGTGTGTGTGTGTGTGTGTGTGTGTGTGTGGCATGTATTCACATGTGTGCCTGTATGTGAGTTCCCATGTGTGGACCCTCGTGTGTGCGCATGTGGAGGCCAGATGCTGATGTCGGGTGTCTTTATTCTGTATGGAGACAGGCCTATTGATGAACCTGGAGCTAGCCAGCCAGCTTGCTCTGGGGAATCCTGTTTCTATCTCCCCAGAACTGAGGTGTGTCCCAACGTCTGCCTGGCCTTTGTGTGAGTCCTGGGGATCCAAACTCTAGTTCTCAGGCTTTACCTACTGAGCCATCTCTTCAGCTCTGATCCAATTTCTTAAAACACATATTTCAAGGGAGGAGAGAAGACAGACAGTAATATATAATGAACATTCAGTCAAGCGCACTTTATGTAGTTTGCTCCTGGCAAAGTGGAACCGAACCAAACCAAACCAAACCAAACCAAACCAAACCCCCAACTAAAAAGCTCAAACAAAACAAATTTCCAATCCATGGGGAAATAGGAACCCTAAATGGATACTGCATCACTTTGGGGCAGTGGTCTCACCCTTCTGAATGCTGTGACCCATTAGTTAATACGGTTCCTAATGTAGCAGCCGCCAACCATAAAATCA